TCATCGGAAAATTAATTAGTATAAAATTTCACTTTGTAATGTAAATGAAAGTTATGATTTATACCAAGATTTTTAAATTGGATTTGGGACTAGACTACTAATTAGTTTGCATACTAAAAAAGTTTTTAAGTTATTTAAAAATATATATTATGTTCAATTAAATTTTTCTATATTTATTTTAAATTAAATAAGTTTTTATGACATCAAAATATCACATATTATTTTATATCATATGACGTTAACTTAATATGTTAATATGTTATAATAAGTGATATAAAAATGTGATATTTGATATTTTTCATCCTTCCATTTCAATGTTATATCAAGATCACGTGTGGATAAAATAATAAGTCACATTTTAACTATTAACAAGTCACATATGAAGATCACGTTTGCATAAAATAATAAGTCACATTTTAACTATTGACAAGTCACATATGAAGATCACGTGTGCATAAAATGACAAGTCATTTTTTTATTATTGACAATTAATTAACGATTAATTATAAGAATCTATTTTAATTCACAATAAAAATATAAAGACATGCTTGAATGTAATAAAAAAATAAAAATTTATTTAACTTTTCAAATATTATATATATATACATACTTTTACCTTTGTCCATTTTTTTAAAATAAATGATGTGATTTCCAAACCTTACAAGCACAATTGAAGCAAAAAACAAAAGGTCTTCTTGTTAAGTGGATTCTCAACCGCAAAAATAAGATATATACCATGTATTTATATGTCCTGTGGCAGAAAACCATATGCTAAACATCCCATTAATCATAAAGCAGCATCTTAGAGACAATTATAAAGTATTGTTTGGCCCACCATAAATATGAGTGCGCTAAAAGTAGTACGTCACGAAACCCCCCAATAATATTGCCATGGAACAGACCCATCAACACCTCCATGTCAAACTCTATAAGAGCCCTTCTCCACTTCACAAATTTTCTGCCTCAGAAATAAGTGTATCATTAAATTTTTCCCTTGTCAAAACAATGACGATCAATGGAACCTCTGTCAGAACCAGTTCAGATGGAGTCTGGCAAGGGGAAAATCCTCTCAACTATGCCTTCCCGTTATTGATACTTCAAACAACCTTGGTTCTTTTCACTAGCCGCTTCCTTGCCATCCTTCTCAAACCCCTCCGACAACCCAAAGTGGTTGCCGAGATAGTAGTACGTTCCATTGTCATTTCACTGTGTAATTGATTCTCATTTTCGGGTTTTCTTTTTTTTTTTTTATGTTGTTAAAATGATATGCTATGTTGTCTGTCAGGGAGGAATTTTGCTAGGTCCTTCTGCTTTGGGCCGCAACAAAGATTTCTTGCACGTGTTTTTCCCTGCATGGAGCACACCAATACTGGAATCAGCAGCTAGTATTGGTCTTCTCTTCTTTCTCTTCCTTGTTGGTCTTGAGCTCGATCTAACCGCAATTCGTCAAAGCGGCAAAAAGGCTTTTAGCATAGCCTTAGCCGGGATGTCTGTTCCTTTCATATTTGCGGCCGCACTTTCATTACTTCTCCATAAAGCTGTCAATGGGGAGGAGAGAGTAAGTATTGGGCAGTACATACTGTTCCTAGGCGTGGCTCTTTCCATCACAGCTTTCCCCGTTCTCGCCCGCATTCTAGCTGAGCTCAAACTCCTAACAACCCAAGTGGGCCAAACCGCCATGGCGGCAGCTGCATTCAACGACCTTGCTGCGTGGATCTTGTTGGCCTTAGCCGTAGCCGTAGCAAGCAATGGCTCAAGTGAAGCCCACAAAAACCCACTTATATCCATTTGGGTTCTTATATCCGGAGTTGCTTTTGTTGCTTTCATGCTAATTCTAGTCCGGCCCCTGATGAATTGGTTGGCTAGACAGTGCTCGCCTGAACATGATTTTGTCATCGATGAAGGTTATATATGCTTGACCCTGTCCGGGGTAATGTTATCCGGATTCATGACTGACCTTATAGGAATCCATGCAATATTTGGTGCTTTTATATTTGGACTAACGATTCCTAAAGGTGAATTCGCAGCAAAACTGATCAAAAGGATTGAGGACTTTGTAGCTGGTCTCCTTCTTCCGCTGTACTTTGCTTCTAGCGGGTTGAAGACGGATGTGACCAAAATACGTGGAGTAGAGGCTTGGGGCCTTTTG